TGAAGCACAGATTTTTTGTCTACAACCTTCTCCAGCAGATCTTTAATTATTCGTGACTATCCACCATTCTTTTCAACGGATATCGTCTACTCCTCCCTCTTACGTTTGGTAGAATTTTTATGTGCTTCCTCATCTCGTTCAAGTTCGATCCTCGACACCAAGTATGACCTTTCTCTTCTTCTTTATATCGGGCATTTTTTTCCTTGATTTTCTGATTCTGGATAATAGTGGAAAGCATGTCTGAAAACAGAAGCAGAAAGAATCGAAAAATCTATTAAGTTCAATGTTAACGTGCCGATCGTTAAGTCCATCATGCTCCCTAAGAAACTAGAAACAGAATTCTTCAATATTTGACTGACTTGCCCTTCAAAGTTAGCAAATCGTTTACAGCAGAACGCAGTAGGCGATCGGCTCTTAGACGTTTCCCGTGAAGCTTCCTTGTGTCTCTTATGTTTGGTAGCGGGTTTATCCTGGTGTCCGAACCTTCTTTGGTTGCTTCACGTGCTGAAGTGGCTTGTCCATCCAAAGGCTCCAGGTCTCCAGATATCCTAGAAAGTGACTCGGATGTCTCCAAGTCTCCTCCAAATCTCTTTCTCCACATGCAGTATCTTCTCATCTTCAGAACTGCTAGACTTAAAAAAGTTCAAAATTACCTGCATCAGGTATATATATATATAGGTGAAAAATTAAAGCTTCCGCCTTTTGTTGGGTACTTCGACAAAATTTAAGCAAAGAGGACTCTCTATACTCTTTTTAATTCCCTCTAGCTTTCAATGGACTTTGCCATCATCATCAGGAGCTGTAATTACAATGATAACAGTAGCAACAAAAGTGTAAAATGAATTTAAATTGAATCAACTTACAGTAGTATGTGAGGATGTTGCTAATTGTTGGTTCATCTCACTCATTATTCCATGACCACCATTTTGTGCAATCATCAAATGGCTTCACGACGTAATGCTCTAATGTTTTCTAAATAATTTTTAATCTGTCTTTAACATGTCTTGTCATATTTTAAATAATTTTAACCATTGCACCATGTATCCAGCTCTCACCATGTTACTGGACGTTTCCCTCATCCTATACGAAAACAACAATTAGCAACATCCTCACATACTACTGTAAGTTGATTCAATTTAAATTCATTTTACGCTTTTGTTGCCACTGTTATCATTGTAATTGCAGTTACTGATGATGATGGCAAAGTCCATTGAAAGCTAGAAAGAATTAAAACAAGTATAAAGAGTCCTCTTTGCTTAAATTTTCTCGAAGTACCCAACAAAAGGCGGAAGCTTTAATTTTTCACCTAACTGGTCTAGACGACAATGACCACGTCTCAAGTTATATATATATATATATATATATATATATATATTAATCAGACAAAAACGTTGAATTTTAACTGGAGAAAATTCAATCACAAATTCCAAAGAGAGCTCGTCAGCTCGTTGATAATATGGATAGGACAGACCTCGGAGATGACAGACTCATGGGCAAAGATGGCCGTTCCACCACACTTGCTCTCAGATCTGCAAATACTACAAACCAGTGAAAATTAATTTATGCAGGTGCACTAAATTTGATAATTTTCTGACCAATGTTCATCAATACAAAGAAATTTTGTATATTGTTCTTGACCGTAAGCTTCCAAAGGTCTATTTTACCTGGCAAGCTCGTATGGATATTTATTATCTCGTCATGTTATTGTTGTCTTTGTGGAACACATGTTCGTTGTCAGGTGGAATCATTTTTTTGCCTCAGTAGGCCAAGAGGCAACAAGTGTATAATCCCGACTTGACTCAGCTGTTTCTGGGGAGACTCTCTACCATCAAGGGTAAGGTAACGGCTGAGACAATAATACCACGATTAAGTTGCGAGACACTGTATTCACTGAACCCCTATAGATATAAACTTATTGGAAATAGGGAATCTTAATTAAACTTAAAATATGTAGCCCTTCTGGCGCGCGCGACACGCTGACCCTCTTGCTCGCAATCCGTTCATCAGTAATCACCTGTGGTTTCTCATTGATTTTTGTAGCAAGATCCTTCTGTCTGAGTCCTTTAGCTTGACGCCCTTGCTGAATCAACTTGCCAACGTCCAATGGAATGGTTTCGTGTTTCAGTTCTTCAGTCTCACGATCAAGCTTTGCAGTATTCTTTGTGGTCACATGCTGTTTGTTACTACCAGATGTATTGTATTGAAAAATATAATTACATGTCCACACCACACACATAGTCTAAGCTGTAGACGAGAATATTGATTTGCCAGAATTAAACTTTGTCAATAAAGAGTGACATCTGTATGAGTTTAAGCTAGGGTTGCCTTTTGAAGAATTTGTTGCATTCGTTAACTTATATTTCTAGAATACTTACCTGGTGCATCAAAAGGCGGATGGTCTTTTATTCGAAATACATTCAATATATAATCCCTTGTACCGCAGAATATAATGTGGTGTTTTTCTGGGTTCTTTTGGGTGTGGATTAAAACTCGAGATTCCACAAAAATAAATGCACTTCTTTACTTTACTTGACCAGATAGAACATTTATGTACACCACTATTTATGTCTAACTAATTCTTATGCCGCGCCATTGATTGCACTCCACTTCGCTCTACTCTAATGTACCCCGCACCGTGCTTCCATCTCCCGGCCGTCGAGTTATATATACTCCGAATCGCTGCTTCGAGAGAGGTATGGCGAGCGACAAAGCGGCATCTAGAATATTTGAGGTCACCTGGCGTAGATCTAGAAGGCGAGTCACTGGTACGGGAAGGAGAGTCTCCTAATAGATGGCGCCAACAGTACTATCTATTATCGTCACACTGCCCCCTCGGTAAAGTCATTCCATCCCGGAATGATCTTATTGGCGGTGGATCTCGATATCGGCACGACTGCCCTTTCTTGCAGTAGGAGTTCTTAAGAATTAACAATCCACACTCCTTCCAGAAGGTAGCCGTCTAGGACTGTGACAACATACCAGAAATCGAATGGCCATTAGCATTGTGAGCCATAAAAAGATCAAATGTCATGTCCGATTCTGGTTGGATTTGCTGCATCGCCGCATCTTCGTTGTTTCCATGATAAGGTGCCCTGTAGTCGACGGAGTTTTTGAGGATCTATGACTGTAGGTTCTGATGGAGAAGGACTGACTTTGTGGCAGATGGGTTGTGGAGTCTTTATATCTAGCATAGATTTCAACTAATCCTAGTCATTTCTCAACTAATAGATATTGATTCAGCTTGTGGAAAACTCTGAATGTATAATTTAATTTTTGTAAAAAATGTTCTTGCCATTTAATTTTTGCCGAGCTATAGGTAAGGGAGGCAGCTGCTCCTGGGTACGCCCTTGTATAGATAGAAAGCACTTTCTGGGATTTACTAGCCTTCATTGAGGGACATGCAACATTGCAAATTACCGAGGAGATGTCTCCAAACATCCTAATGTAAATAAACAGGTCTATATTTTTTATTAGCGGTGTTTTTGTGAGATGTAAATTTGAATATTGTTGGCTCGTCGGCAATTGTTTATGAAGTTACACGTCTCGTTGAAGGGTGTCTGATAATTCTAGGTCTTTAACGACCTCACGTCCATTTTTGAAACTGTTGGACTACTTGAACATCTGGCTCCAATAAAGCTAAACGTTTCCTTAGTCATTCTGTCGAAACGGAAGCAAAATGGGAGAGTGCATTGCATGCAACTGGGTTGCTGCACGGCAATTATGAAACGCGCTCTGTATTGGTTTTTGTCAATAATAATGTAATGTATCTATTTGTATTCTGATCTACCTGTATATGTCATGGAAATGACACTTCGGTCCGGAACGTCAACCTGAACGTTTTGCCAAAGGACTGTTATTTAAAACTGTTACAATTACTGCTTAATAGACCACTTGACATTTGAAATAAAAGTGCGTACTACTTGTGATCCTTTGTAAGCGTATCCCGTACAATACCAAACATTACAGTGGCATGCATGGTACGATTCTAATAAAAATTACAGGTTACCACAGCTGAGGAAGATTGGAAATGCCGTTTGCACCCACCCGCTCTACCAACTGACGAAATAACCTGGATATGTTCAGAATGCGGAGATTGGATGTGTAAACCTAGCGTAGAATTGCCAAAGATCAACATGACCCTGCACGAAGCACTCCAGAATCCCGTTTTAGGAATATCTGAGCCGTTATGCGACGATCTGGTGGTATGTCTATCGAACCCGAGGTATCAAGTACTCAGTTGATACCTGCCTTGGGACGACCTCCATAGAATTTGCAAAATGTACTTGCATGACCCGCAGAATGCTAAGAATTTAGTCACTGAGCTGAAATTTGTTGACATAGATTACTCTATGTTTAAAAATATCAAGACAGAACCACTGGATGAGCTTGCTGGTATTGAGAGAGGATACGAACAGTATTTAGATCAGAATTTTGTTTCTGATGAAGAATCGCCGTCAAATAGCGAAGATTCGATGTCACAGGACTCACGACCGTACAGTCTTGGAAGTGACGGTGCCGGAGACTTCTTTTTACCGTTACTGAATACACTGCCGAAAAAATTCGATCCCACGACCTTCAAAACCCTGAGAGAATTTAGACCGGCATTAAAAAGGCACAAGGATAAGGATTCGAACGAAGGCACGCCTGAAAAACAGTTCAAGCCTTCTTCTAGCGAACCTCAGCCTTCGACTTCGACAGCCACAGATGAGTCAAAAAACGTAAAACTTGCCACATTGCGCCAACTTCGTGGGCAAGTGGCAAAGGAAATGAAAGTAATGAAAATAACGCTAAAGGATATATTAAAAAAATTACATCAGAAAACAGAAAAAGAATCCATGGAGCAACAACCTCTCAAGGAGATAGTATCTGTAAAACCAACAGAACAAACATTGAACAAAGAAACACAAAACAGGCTCTCGTTCAGTTCATCCAGATAAAATCTGGATATCAGCAGCTCTCAGAAGAAAGTTCTCATAAGCATACCCAAGGAAAGAATAAAAATGTCTCAGGTCATTGCTCAATACCCGCCACGAAGTCAACCAAGAACCATTACGCGGAAGCATACGCCTCTGATACTAAAATCATCAAAGTCAACTCATCAAATCAAGGTAGTACCTCCAAGCTCCCAGAAAGAAACCAGTACTGCGCTCTCATTGGAACAGAAATTACTGCTGCGCTCTCGGCAAACGCAACCAGTGCTGGAAAACCCAATCAACGAGGTGGCACCAGTGAATTCGCAAGTAGGAGCTATCCCTCCGCTGCTTCAATCCGCACCACGTCCAAGCACACTGTCTCCCAAGATTCAAGACTCACATCCAATAACTTCAGTGGAAACTCAGTCTCAAACGCCAGCTATCGGCCAGCAGTTGGTACGCAACACGATACCACAAAGTTTGATAAGCCCACAACCAATCAGCAAGACTCTGCAAGTTCACGACACTCAACCCAACACCTCAAAAGGACCGAGTACACCTCAGCCTGTAAGGAACGACAAAATTACGGATCCTCAGCCCAGCACCACAAGGAAACCACTATTACTACGAGTGAAAACACCTGTGTGGCTCAGTACAGCGGATGTACCTCAACCTCGGGGAACCATCTCAGAATTAATAATCGCAAAAAGTCAAGCGGTTTTACCCCAGACCAGCAAAGCATCAACAGCAGTGACACCTTCCGAACAGCGAGCCAACATTCTGCAACCCAAGGTTATTACCTTGGCTCAGCATCAGCCATGCCTATTTCAGGAAACCAGTTTACTATCAACATCCCCAGAACTCCAGGCAGAAGTACCTGCGGCCAGCCTAGTAAAAACTACGGCCAAGGAGGTCAGTCTGCCTCAGCCAAAGGAACATCAGGGATCCAGTTCCAAATCAGTTCTGAGAAGCAAAGCGGAAGTATCTCCAATTCCAGTCAACGTGGTCACTCTTCCTATACCAGTGGTACCTCCGGGGAGTACTCCTCGAGTAAAGACGCTCTCTATCCTTCAGATAGTGCCGCCTCGAACAACAAACGCACGGGCAGTACCCCAGCCACCATCTGTCAGTCCGCATTCAACAACAAGACTTACTTCACCACCAGTAGTACAAAAAATGACTGTCAAACGTCAAATTTTGGATATGCCACAACAAATAGCTTATGTGACTCAGCAAGAAGTCAGTCATGTAGTGGCCAGGGATATGACACAACAGGAATTAACATCTGCCAAGCCTCAGGAAGTCAGTCTAACGTTGAAGGATATGGCTCAACAGGACCTCCAGTCTACGTCTCAGAATATTCGAGAACCCAGTCCTTCAAACAGTCAGACTCTAACAGAAGCTGGGACGAGGGGGATGGACCGACTTATTCAGGCAACTCGGAATTTCGATGCTCGCCAAAAGGAGAAGCACAATATAACTGTTCAGAAGCAGCGAATCCAAGCAGGCAACCTCCAGGACACACAACTCATACTACAGGCCTCGCTAGAAATGAAGTGCACGCTACAGGAAGTCGGCCAGGGTCAACCATCTTCATCAACTCAGGCAGCATCGTTACAAAAGGACATCCCAATCGTGTCTCCCATGAAGACACATCAGATATTAACAGAAATCTATCCTTGGACGCTAGAAGGGAGCAGACTGAGCACACCATCCCCAGAATTTGCTCAGTTAGTGCAACAGATAACAACAGAGGTTCACAATCCTTCGACGTTGCAGGAGGACAGCCCGGTTCAACAAATAGAGACCAGTCCACCTCAGTTGCCACTTGAGGACTTGATGGATCAACTGTCTTCCTTACAAGAAACCGATCCAACATCACCAGATATCAATCCGCCTCGATCACTGCTAGAGGAACTATTTCAGATCGAAAACCTGGATCACTTAGTCAGTCATATAACTCAAAAAACCAACAGCATGCCGACTACACCTCCACAGGAGTCGCACAAACTTCCAGTAGAGATGAATCTTCGTCTCCAACAAGAAATCAGTCCTTCTCCTACCCTGTTAGGCAGTTCATCTCTGCATGCGATGGAAAAGGATCATCTGCCTCCACAACCCATCTGCCACAAAGTCAGTCCTTCTCCATCAGAACCTACAGTCATAGATCCTCAAAAACTCCGTCGACTACAGGGCACCTTATCATGGAAACAACGAAGATGCGGCGATGCAGCAAATCCAACCAGAATCGGACATGACATTTGATCTTTTTATGGCTCACAATGCTAATGGCCATTCGATTTCTGGTATGTTGTCACAGTCCTAGAGGGCTACCTCCTGGAAGGAGTGTGGATTGTTACTTCTTAAGAACTCCTACTGCAAGAAAGGGCAGTCGTGCCGATATCGAGATCCACCGCCAATAAGACCATTCCGGGACGGAATGACTTTACCGAGGGGGCAGTGTGACGATAATAGATAGTACTGTTGGCGTCATCTATTAGGAGACTCTCCTTCTCGTACCAGTGACTCGCCTTCTAGATCTACGCCAGGTGACCTCAAATATTCTAGATGCCGCTTTGTCGCTCGCCAAACCTCTCTCGAAGCAGCGATTCGGAGTATATATAACTCGACGGCCGGGAGATGGAAGCACGGTGCGGGGTACATTAGAGTAGAGCGGAGTGGAGTGCAATCAATGGCGCGGCATAAGAATTAGTTAGACATAAATAGTGGTGTACATAAATGTTCTATCTGGTCAAGTAAAGTAAAGAAGTGCATTTATTTTTGTGGAATCTCGAGTTTTAATCCACACCCAAAAGAACCCAGAAAAATGCTACATTATATTCTGCGGTACAAGGGATTATATATTGAATGTATTTCGAATAAAAGACCATCCGCCTTTTGATGCACCAGGTAAGTATTCTAGAAATATAGGTTAACGAATGCAACAAATTCTTCAAAAGGCAACCCTAGCTTAAACTCATACAGATGTCACTCTTTATTGACAAAGTTTAATTCTGGCAAATCAATATTCTCGTCTACAGCTTAGACTATGTGTGTGGTGTGGACATGTAATTATATTTTTCAATACAATACATCTGGTAGTAACAAACAGCATGTGACCACAAAGAATACTGCAAAGCTTGATCGTGAGACTGAAGAACTGAAACACGAAACCATTCCATTGGACGTTGGCAAGTTGATTCAGCAAGGGCGTCAAGCTAAAGGACTCAGACAGAAGGATCTTGCTACAAAAATCAATGAGAAACCACAGGTGATTACTGATGAACGGATTGCGAGCAAGAGGGTCAGCGTGTCGCGCGCGCCAGAAGGGCTACATATTTTAACTTTAATTAAGATTCCCTATTTCCAATACGTTTCTATCTATAGGGGTTCAGTGAATACAGTGTCTCGCAACTTAATCGTGGTATTATTGTCTCAGCCGTTACCTTAGCCTTGATGGTAGAGAGTCTCCCCAGAAACAGCTGACTCAAGTCGGGATTATACACTTGTTGCCTCTTGGCCTACTGAGGCAAAAAAATGATTCCACCTGACAACGGACATGTGTTCCACAAAGACAACAAAAACATGACGAGATAATAAATATCCATACTAGCTTGCCAAGTAAAATAGACCTTTGGAAGCTTACGGTCAAGGACAATATACAAAATTTCTTTGTATTGATGAACATTGGTCAGAAAATGATCAAATTTAGTGCACTTGTATAAGTGAATTTTCACTGGTTTGTAGTATTTATTTATATTAATCATATTATATATATATATTAATCAGACAAAAACGTTGAATTTTAACTGGAGAATATTCAATCACAGATTCCAAAGAGAGCTCGTCAGCTCGTTGATAATATGGATAGGACAGACCTCGGAGATGATAGACTCATGGGCAAAGATGGCCGTTCCACCACACTTGCTCTTAGATCTGCAAATACTACAAACCAGTGAAAATTCATTTATACAAGTGCACTAAATTTGATCATTTTCTGACCAATGTTCATCAATACAAAGAAATTTTGTATATTGTTTTTGACCGTAAGCTTCCAAAGGTTTATTTTACTTGGCAAGCTCGTATGGATATTTATTATCTCGTCATGTTTTTGTTGTCTTTGTGGAACACATGTCCGTTGTCAGGTGGAATCATTTTTTTGCCTCAGTAGGCCAAGAGGCAACAAGTGTATAATCCCGACTTGACTCAGCTGTTTCTGGGGAGACTCTCTACCATCAAGGGTAAGGTAACGGCTGAGACAATAATACCACGATTAAGTTGCGAGACACTGTGTTCACTGAACCCCTATAGATATAAACGTATTGGAAATAGGGAATCTTAATTAAACTTAAAATATGTAGCCCTTCTGGCACGCGCGACACGCTGACCCTCTTGCTCGCAATCCGTTCATCAGTAATCACCTGTGGTTTCTCATTGATTTTTGTAGCATGATCCTTCTGTCTGAGTCCTTTAGCTTGACGCCCTTGCTGAATCAACTTGCCAACGTCCAATGGAATGGTTTCGTGTTTCAGTTCTTCAGTCTCACGATCAAGCTTTGCAGTATTCTTTGTGGTCACATGCTGTTTGTTACTACCAGATGTATTGTATTGAAAAATATAATTACATGTCCACACCACACACATAGTCTAAGCTGTAGACGAAAATATTAATTTGCCAGAATTAAACTTTGTCAATAAAGAGTGACATCTGTATGAGTTTAAGCTAGGGTTGCCTTTTGAAGGATTTGTTGCATTCGTTAACTTATATTTCTAGAATACTTACCTGGTGCATCAAAAGGCGGATGGTCTTTTATTCGAAATACATTCAATATATAATCCCTTGTACCACAGAATATAATGTAGTGTTTTTCTGGGTTCTTTGGGTGTGGATTAAAACTCGAGATTCCACAAAAATAAATGCACTTCTTTACTTTACTTGACCAGATAGAACATTTATGTACACCACTATTTATGTCTAACTAATTCTTATGCCGCGCCATTGATTGCACTCCACTCCGCTCTACTCTAATGTACCCCGCACCGTGCTTCCATCTCCCGGCCGTCGAGTTATATATACTCCGAATCGCTGCTTCGAGAGAGGTTTGGCGAGCGACAAAGCCGCATCTAGAATATTTGAGGTCACCTGGCGTAGATCTAGAAGGCGAGTCACTGGTACGAGAAGGAGAGTTTCCTAATAGATGGCGCCAACAGTACTATCTATTATCGTCACACTGCCCCCTCGGTAAAGTCATTCCGTCCCGGAATGATCTTATTGGCGGTGGATCTCGATATCGGCACGACTGCCCTTTCTTGCAGTAGGAGTTCTTAAGAAGTAACAATCCACACTCCTTCCAGGAGGTAGCCGTCTAGGACTGTGACAACATACCAGAAATCGAATGGCCATTAGCATTGTGAGCCATAAAAAGATCAAATGTCATGTCCGATTCTGGTTGGATTTGCTGCATCGCCGCATCTTCGTTGTTTCCATGATAAGGTGCCCTGTAGTCGACGGAGTTTTTGAGGATCTATGACTGTAGGTTCTGATTTAGAAGGACTGACTTTGTGGCAGATGGGTTGTGGAGGCAGATGATCCTTTTCCATCGCATGCAGAGATGAACTGCCTAACAGGGTAGGAGAAGCACTGATTTCTTGTTGGAGACGAAGATTCATCTCTACTGGAAGTTTGTGCGACTCCCGTGGAGGTGTAGTCGGCATGCTGTTGGTTTCTTGAGTTATATGACTGACTAAGTGATCCAGGTTTTAGATCTGAAATAGTTCCTCTGGCAGTGATCGAGGCGGATTGATATATGGTGATGTTGGATCAGTTTCTTGTAAGGAAGACAGTTGATCCATCAAGTCCTCTAGTGGCAACTGAGGTGGACTGGTCTCTATTTGTTGAACCGGGCTGTCCTCCTGCAACGTCGAAGGATTGTGAACCTCTGTTGTTATCTGTTGCACTAACTGAGCAAATTCTGGGGATGGTGTGCTCAGTCTGCTCCCTTCTAGCGTCCAAGGATAGATTTCTGTTAATATCTGATGTGTCTTCATGGGAGACGCGATTGGGATGTCCTTTTGTAACGATGCTGCCTGAGTTGATGAAGATGGTTGACCCTGGCCGACTTCCTGTAGCGTGCACTTCATTTCTGGCGAGGCCTGTAGTATGAGTTGTGTGTCCTGGAGGTCGCCTGCTTGGATTCGCTGCTTCTGAACGGTTATATTGTGCTTCTCCTTTTGGCGAGCATCGAAATTTCGAGCTGCCTGAATAAGTCGGTCCATCCCCCTCGTCCCAGCTTCTGTTAGAGTCTGACTGTTTGAAGGACTGGGTTCTCGAATATTCTGAGACGTAGTCTGGAGGTCATGTTGAGCCATATCCTTCAACGTTAGACTGACTTCCTGAGGCTTGGCAGATGTTAATTCCTGTTGTGTCATATCCCTGGCCACTACATGACTGACTTCTTGCTGAGTCACATAAGCTATTTGTTGTGGCATATCCAAAATTTGACGTTTGACAGTCATTTTTTGTACTACTGGTGGTGAAGTAAGTCTTGTTGTTGAATGCGGACTGACAGATGGTGGCTGGGGTACTGCCCGTGCGTTTGTTGTTCGAGGCGGCACTATCTGAAGGATAGAGAGCGTCTTTACTCGAGGAGTACTCCCCGGAGGTACCACTGGTATAGGAAGAGTGACCACGTTGACTGGAATTGGAGATACTACCGCTTTGCTTCTCAGAACTGATTTGGAACTGGATCCCTGATGTTCCCTTGGCTGAGGCAGACTGACCTCCTTGGCCGTAGTTTTTACTAGGCTGGCCGCAGGTACTTCTGCCTGGAGTTCTGGGAATGTTGATAGTAAACTGGTTTCCTGAAATAGGCATGGCTGATGCTGAGCCAAGGTAATCACCTTGGGTTGCAGAATGTTGGCTCGCTGTTTGGAAGGTGTCACTGCTGTTGATGCTTTGCTGGTCTGGGGTAAAACCGCTTGACTTTTTGCGATTATTAATTCTGAGCTGGTTCCCCGAGGTTGAGGTACATCCGCTGTACTGAGCCACACAGGTGTTTTCTCTCGTAGTAATAGTGGTTTCCTTGAGGTGCTGGGCTGAGGATCCGTAATTTTGTCGTTCCTTACAGGCTGTGGTGTACTCGGTCCTTTTGAGGTGTTGGGTTGGGTGTCGTGAACTTGCAGAGTCTTGCTGATTGGTTGTGGGCTTATCAAACTTTGTGGTATCGTGTTGCGTACCAACTGCTGGCCGATAGCTGGCGTTTGAGA